GGGCTGAGAGCCCGGGGGTCCGTGTGGTCTCCTCCAGAGGGGCAGGGACACCTTGGGGCTTGGTGGGCCTGGCCTGGGGGACGTGGGCAGGGAGCCAGAGTGGCACGGGTATGGGCGTGTGGCTGCTTCTGGGGGCTGCCTTGGTCTGGGGGAAGCTCCCCATCACCAAACAGACATGCTGGCTGCATTCAGAGCTTCTGGGGGCTGCCCTGCTCTGGGGGGAATTCCTGGTCTAGGGGGCTCCCTGCGATGACACCAAGGTGCTGGCTGCATTCAGAGCTTCTGGGGGCTGCCTTCTAGGGAGACGCTGGCTGGCGCCTGAGGGGCTCTGCTTCGTGTCTGCCTGCACGGCTTAGCGGCCCTCCTGGCCCGACTGGGACTTTGGCTGAGGGAGCAAACAAACGACAAGGAGCCTGGTGGGGCTGTGGGTTAGCAACCGGGCTGCTACTGCAGTGTTGCCATTTCAAATCCACTGGCTGCTCCTCGGGAGAGTGCCGAGCTGTCTGCACCTGGGCTCCGGAGAGGCCAGCTGCTGGTCCACAGTGGCTCAGGGAATAGACAGGGTGCCCACTCAGCTGGCAGCTGACATGTCCAAAATCACTCATTTCCAAAGGGAGCCACTCGGGTGGGTGAAGCCCTGCATTCCAGGAGTGGGGGCCCGTCAGTTGTCGCAGAAGGCTCCTCCAGGTGTGTGACTCCCAAGCTCCCCACCTCCTGGACAGTGTGGGCATTGCATCTGGGCTGTATGAGAGCCGCCACCTAGCACCTACCACCCCGGGGGGACCAGTGACCAGCTCATGGTCCCTCCGATGTATTTGTGGAGGGAGCACGTGAGCATGAAGGGCATCAGTGGCTGTGGTCCCAGTGGCTGTGGTTACCCCCGTGGTCAGTGCATGGTTCAGCGGTGGCCAGACTTGGTCAGAATTGTAATTCAGTAGTGTCGGGGGGTACAGCCGTGTCTGGGGGGGGTGGTCAGGTGAGCATGCTGTGAGGGTGAGAAGTGGGGGAATGAGGGTAAGGGAGGTGAGAGACGAGTGTGTCGGAGCGAGAGGTCAGGGGAGTTAGTGTGTGAGGAGGGGTCAGTATGATGAGAGGGGTCTGAGGATGTGGGGGAGTGAGAGGGGGTGGAGTTGTGGGGAGGTGTAGGTAAGACTCTGAGTCTGGGTCACACCTCATATCCCATTTCCTGGTGGCACCGAGTCCCTGCGCCTGCAATGGGACCAGGCTAGGGTGGGAAAGCCCTGTCTGTCCCTGTGCATTAACCCCTGGGGGCCAGGGGCCTAGCTCAGGAGAAAATGCATTTAACCAGGGGTCCCTCAGGCCAGCAAGAGGCCACGAGAGCAGAAAGCATCTTTCCTTAACACAGGGACGGCCCCTGCACACCCCTCACGATCACTATGCACATGTGCCCACATGCTCTGCACACACGTGTACACGTGCAC